ACCACACAAACCGGAGGGACGACCTTACGTGCCGTTTTCAGGGAAACGAAGACCACCACCCACAAACGGGTGCTGGAGGGCAACAACAGGGCGGAGCGAAACGCACCACTCTGGGCTGCGGCTGCCACAGGCCCGCTCGGAATGCTCTCCAATTCCCTTCCACTTTAGGCTATGGACGCTCTCCAAGTGGGACGAGAGGGAAGCCCCGACCACGGACCCCACCACTCTCCGAAACRGAAGGTGCTGAGGTCGTGAGGAATCCAATGATGCTCAGGCGGGCGTGCCCTCGGCAGAAGCCTTGGGCGCCACGTGCGTTTCAGGTATCGATGGCTCACGGATTTCTGCAATTCACATTMAGTATCGCATTTCGCTGCGCTCTTCATCGTTGCGAGGGCCAAGCTATTCGTTTGCCGAGAGTTGTACAATATGGTGCCGTTCCGACAAGACCGACCCCTTGACCAGAACAGAAGGGGGCCGTCATTCCGGACAACGACAAATCAAAGCAGGTACATCAATAAGGAGTTGCAAAGCCGTCGCCACCTGCCGCTGCCACGGGCCCGCCCAACCCCCCGTTTGGGGGGCCAGGCAGGGCACCGGGGAGCACCGGGGCAATGAGGTTGCAAGCGCTGTCTCCTCCCCCCCCCCCCCAACCCGACACCACCCTGTTCACGACCAAAACCCTCCCCCAACGGCCCTCCACCCCGAGATTCAGACCACCTCGACTGTGTCGAGGACGACGATCTATCCGGAAAGGAGAACCCCGTTGGGAAGGAAGGCAGGACGAAACGGGGAGGGGCAGAGGACCCCGCAACACACCCCGCCCCTAGCCTGCACCACGACCCTCGATCCCCAAACAAGCCACAAGCTCCACACGAAGCCGGGGTCGAGGCCCGGTTGGAAAGGAGGTATGGACAAGGCTGAGACGGGAAGGAGCAGGGGTACGCAGGCCGAGGACAGCCGTCACCACCCGACATCCTGCCCCTGGCCCTTCCGCAGGGCTGTTCGTGCCCGGACCAACCGCCATCAACGACCAAAAGTCAAGAGTGGGGATGGGCTGAGGTAACAACCTGCGGAGGCGAGACGGGATAAAGGGGGAGCAACGCCACAAGGCCCCGGACCCTCCCCACTCCCCCCACCCTCGACCTACACCATGCGCCCCTCTGCGCCGGGCCAGCCGCCAGCTGGGCACTAAGCGCAAGATGGTGCTGAAACGGAAGAGAAAAGCGGATGCAGGGAGGACGGGGGCAAAGGGCGGCAGAAGGGCGAGCAAGCCAGCGTCCCACACCCYGAAGATCGGCCATTCACGTGTCAATGATCCTTCCGCAGGTTCACCTTCGGAAACCTTGTTACGACTTCTCCTTCCTTTAAATGATAAGGTTCAATGAACTTCTCACAGCCCCCCCAGCGGCAAACCGCCGAGATCACCGCAATCCAGACACTTCACCGGACCATTCAATCGG